TATATATATATATATATATATATATATATATATATATATATATATTAACCTTTTACTGCTTTTGTAAACAAATGACTTTGATATGATAGTTTTAAAAACGTATTTCAAAGAAAGGAAGGTTTAAGATTCTTCTTTCACCATATGGATATTAACATACAAAATGAATATCCTAAAAAAATCAACTCCAAAGATTTGCTGTTATACAGATGAACAAAAAATATTTTTAGAGCTAAATTTTTTGGAAAAATATTTTAAAAAGTCTATTTTAACTGAATGTGTCGCTCGCTTCGGCTTTTGTAGCTTCAGATGCTGCAACTTCCTTCACCTCATATGACAGCAGGGTGGAGTTGGACGCGTGCGGCCGGTGATCCGGTTGTCCGTCTGAAGCTTAATATGACCTTTTTTTTTTTTTACCTCTTTCAACCGGCCAGTCGGACCTGAGCGTGCACCTGACCTGACGCACATCAGCAGGTTTCACTGCGCTGGCTTTGTAGAGTGAGTTCTCCCATTTTTATATTTTGTTTAATATGTTCCAGCTCCATTATGTTGCTTGTTGTGGGTCAATTGCAAATCCTCAGATGTGTGATAAGAGCAAAGGATGGGCGGGGCTACATGTGCAATTAAAACCACATCAAAAGCCCGAACCCGACCTGGCCCGCCCGTCAGGCACGTAATTTTGGCTCGACCTGGCCCGAATTTTGGGTCTGGTCAGGTGGGGACTCGGGCCAAAAATCGCAGCTCTAGTCTGGGGGTCCTCCCCCAGAAATGTTTAAATAAAGTTAATGTGATTTTCTGCATTTTGGTGTATTTGAACAAGATGTTAAACATCTATGTGCTTGTAATATATATATATATATATATATATATATATATATATTTTTTTTTTTTTTTGTATGCCATTTCTTAAACTTTTACTCCACTGTTATTCACTGTCTGTCCGGCAGAATTGTAATAGCCCCGCTGTCAGAAAAAATCAACTCTAAAGATAGGCTGTTATACAGATGAATAGAAATATTCTTAGAGTTAAATTATTTGGAAAAATATAGAAAAAGTCTATTTTAATTGAACACGCTGCTCGCTTCGGCTTTTGTAGCTTCAGATGCTGCAACTTCCTTCACCGCAGATGACAGCAGGGCGGAGCAGGACGCGTGTGGCCGGTGATCCGGTTGTCCATCTGAAGCTTAATATGACCTTCTTTTTTTACCTCTTTCAAACGGCTGCACAGGAAGTGCTACATCTTGTTTGCAAATAGCCGTAGAATACGATGTAAATTACCACATGTGAAAGTTTATTAAACAATGCTCACACGAACCGCTATGAAATTTCTAAGATTGAAGCCGTTTTAAAATGGCAGCCATCTGTTTTTTTAGTTCTGGTCCCGTTCGCACTAGCATTTATTTACACAGAAACCCTCTCTGAGTTTGTGGTACTGAGGTGTGTGCTGCTGCTAATTCTGCTAGATGAGACTGTTTACATGACTTCATTTTCACTAAAGGATCAGTGGAGAGGGATGTACATATTCTGGCAGTAAAGCTGAGCTCACTCGTAACCATAGTTTCCACTTTTTGTTACTTTCAAAATAAACAATAAGACCAACAGATGGGATGTTTTGAGTAGTTTAGCATATATTTATAAAAAAAAACTACTGGGTACTTCCATTAGAAAAGTACTGTTAGGAAACAACTTGATGGGTCCAACAAAGTTCAGTCAGGTCATCTGGATGGTTTCTTTATTTGACGAGATGTTTCATCCTTCATCCAAAAGACTTCATCAGTCCAAGGAGCCACAAACAAACGGAGTCCCACAAGCAGCACACTCTCATAGTGGATCAACCAGTTTGATGGTGATAAGATGCTTTCTGGGTTTCACCCTCTACCCTGTCGACTCCTCTGAGGCAACCATAGCCAAAGTGGTTCAAAAGGGGTGAAGTTTCAAACCACTTTGGACACTTTGGCTATGGCTGCCTCAGAGGAGTCGACTGGGGAGAGGGCGAGCCCCAGAAACCATCTTATCACCATCAAACTGGTTGATCCATTATGAGAGTGTGCTGCTTGTGGGACTCAATTTGTTTGTGGCTCCTCGGACTGATGAAGTCCTTTGGATGAAGCATCTCAACAAAAAAGGAAACCGACCAGATGATCCGACTGAACTTTGTTGGATTTTTTTTTACCTGGATTGTTGAGCATGAACTTTGATAACTTGGTGGGTCACTAGCAGTGTTAATTGAAACAGTCATAATTGTCACGTTAAATCTTTGAATTTACTCATTTTAATTAAACTTCAGGTATTTGAAAATCACTGCCCAACCCTAATCTTTAGCTTATCAATCAAGTCAAAATTAAACTATTTGTCCAAACTGAGGCTGTTCAAAGAGTTATCTACAACAGGTAAGATAGTAGTTGTTCATAACCTGTTCATAACCTGTCCATTTAATCCCCCCATTTCTGAAGTTTTATACTTACTCTGTACTGGATGTCAGTAATAAAGCTCCGCTGTAGGAAAACAATGAAATGTGTATGTTTGGACAACAGTCAACAGAAACAGCAGCAAGGCAACCAGCTGGCGAAGGAGACCGACAGGCTGATGAAGTCCTTCACTGCTTTGCCCATCGGCCCTGATCAGGTACTGGACCGCCTAAAGGTTCTGCTCAGATCGAGTAAATATCACACTGGATCCCAGATCTGGATTATTTGATGATATTTCTTCCTGTTGGGATTTTAGCGACAGAGAAAGCTACAGAAAGAGCGTCTGCTGAACGACTTCAGCGCCGCTCTGAACAGCTTCCAGAAGACGCAGCGGCAGGCGGCTGACAGAGAGAGGGACTTTGTGGCCCGAGTCCGGGCCAGCTCCAGGGTGTCGGTGGTGAGTTAATGGACTTTTTGTTGGAGGGCAAGTTACCTCATCATCAAGTAGAATGCCAAAGAACTTAGAAAGTACTTGGTCTCTGATTAAACTAGAGGGAGTGTCACACTTCAGCAGTTACTTTAAGGTAATGGGTGTCCAAAGGGTGGCCCGAGGGCCATTTGTGGCCCTTGGAGTGATTTTGTGCGGCCCACAACTGCAATTTAAGAATGGTACCATTTTGGCCAGCAGGCTTAAGAGGTCGATGCAGACTTTCTGCAAGTTAGTTGGTAATCCTTTTTTATGTAATGTTTGTTTTTCATCCATTTAGCTGTTTAAACCTATCTTCTCAAAATGAGCAATATTAAGCAAAATACAAACCTTTGGCTATAATCTTTTATTTTCACTTCATTGTACAAATCACCAAAAATCTTTACTGATTTCTGCCAGGAAACTTTTGAATAATGATTCATAAAACTTGGCTAAATATTGAAGTTGATAAAATAATCAAGAGAGAAATTGGACATTTTAAAAATAATATAATGTGGTGTCATCTGCATACGAGTTGATCAACTTTATCAAACCTTCTATGAATCTGTTGTAGCGACTGACAGCTGGACGGTTTTACAGAACTTTGATCAGCCTTTTGGGCCATCCATGGTCCAAAAGGCTGATGGACCTCCTTTTAAAAGGACAATTACTCAGTTTACACTTTTGTTGCTGAGGACAGACTAAAAAGACGAAAACAAAAAACATAAACCCAACAATTCAAATAAATCAAATCCTTTTAAATAAAAAATAGAAGCTTAGTGTTTATGAGGCTTTTAATGTTTTGGATCTGCAACAATTTTAAAACTCTTTCCCCACCAAAATTAATAAACTTTTGTCCTTTCTCCAAAATATTGTTCACATTGAGTTAAATTCACATTTTTGGGGTCCACGGGCGTTTCGTCTTGATAATGAGAAAGAAATGTATCATTGTTCTTATATTTTTATTGTCTGGTGATATTGAACTTAATCCTGGCCCAAATAATGTTTGTTTTAATACTCCAAGTGATTTTAAATCTAGATCAGGTCTTGGAGTTATTCACCTTAATGTTTGGAGTTTGCTACCCAAACTAGATCAAGTAAAAATCTGGGCCAGTTCATCTGACACTGACATACTGGTTGTGTCAGAAACTTGGCTAAAGACATCCATTACAGACGTAGAGATTGCCATCAAAGGTTACAATGTATTTCGATGTGATCGTCCTAAAAAGGGGGGTGGCATTGCGATATATGTCAAGCAGAAATTTCACGTTACTGTTCAGTCATGTCTTTCCTTAAGTAGACAGTTGGAATTTCTTGCCTTGAAGTTGGAACTTTTTCAGGGTCACTTTATCACGGTGGTGGGGTGTTATAGGCCACCATCAGCTAATAGTGAGACCTTGTCAGCCTTAAATTATCAGCTCGCAAATTTAGCTTTTAGTGAGATCATTTTTACAGGAGACTTGAATTGGGACTGGTTATCTCCCATCTCTGCTGGTTTTAAATCTGTTTGTGATGGTCTTAATTTAACACAAATGGTTAATGAGGCAACACGCCCAAACCTTAAATTTCCAGAAAAATTCTCTCTTCTTGATTTGTTTTTAACTAATTTGCCACATAAATATTCAAATGTTGGAGTATTTACAAATGATATAAGTGACCATTGTGCTACAGCCATCTTCAGAAACACTAAACTCGTGAAATCAAGCCCTCGTTTGATTCTGAAAAGGGATACAAAACATTTTAGTGAGCAAGCTTTCCATCATGATTTATGGCTGTTTGATGATGTAGAACTGGCCTGGAAATATTTTTATGATGCTTTTAACTTTTTTTATTAATAAACATGCCCCTCTTCGTAAATTTCGAGTAAATGGTAGAAATAATCCCTGGTTCACGGCTGAGCTGTCTAATTTGTGAAAAGATCGAGATAATGCTTGGCCAAGGCCAGGCATTCTAAAACTCAAAATGATTGGCTGGTATTCTAGAAATTGAGAAATCGCTTTACTTCCCTTGTTAAAAAGGCAAAATCCCAGTTTTATGTTGATAAAACTACTCAAAATTTAAATGATCCCAAGAAATTTTGGAAAGTGATTAAATCCTCATTCGGAGATTAAATATCTAGCGAATTACCTACTTGAATTATTAAGGATTCACAAAACATAACCGATAAAGTAGCTATTCTTAACTGTTTCAATGAACATTTCATTTCCTCAGGATCCTTGTTTGAATCATTGCTTCCTCAGAGGCTAATTGTGCAAGAAGATTTCTCTCAAGCACACTTGAGTGATTCAGTTCAAGGATTTAGTTTTGCCCCTTTTGATGTAACTGAAGTTCATAGAACTTTACAACAATTAGATCCTTGTAAATCTGCTGGACCTGACAAACTCCAGCCCTTTTTTGAGGGCAGCTGCAGACTTTATAGCAGAACCTCTATGTTGCATCTTTAACTTAACTCTTCCAGAAAACAAGATTCCCTGGATATGGAAATCTGCCCATGTTCTTCCCTTGTTAAAAGGTGGCAATCCATCTGTAGTCAACAACTACAGACCGATCTCTAAATTGTGTGTACTTTCCAAAGTTCTGGAAAAATTGATAGCAGAACAGCTGAAAACATTTTTAGATTCAACAGGCTTACTCTCACAACACCAATCACATTTTCGAAAAAAAGCACAGTACAACAACTGCTGCTCTTAAAGTGGTAAATGACATTATAGATGCCCTAGATGGCCGAAAATATTGTGCAACTCTTTTTGTTGACCTTTCTAAAGCGTTTGACTCTGTAGATCATGTTAACCTGATGAATCGACTCTACAAAAGTGGGTTATCTGTCCAGGCTGTTAACTGGTTCTCCAGCTATAGATAGAACTCATTGTGTCCAAGCGGCTGGGTCTTGTTCCTCCGTCCTTCCTATTTTAAAGGGAGTGCCTCAAGGCTCCTTACTAGGTCCTTTGTTGTTCACAATTTATGTAAACAATTTGTGCGATAACTTGCCTGATTCTAAAGCTCATCTATATGCTGATGATAGTTATTTATTGTTCATCGTCTTCAGTTTCACAATCATTTAAACTGCTGCAATCTGCATTTGATACTGTTCAGTCCCGTTTGGCTGGGCTTAAGCTGGTTTTGAATGCAGAAAAATCAAAGGCTATGCTATTTTCAAATGGTAAGCAGCTTCCACCTATCCTGCAGCTTGTTCACTGTTCAAAGGGCTGAAATTGAAGTTGTCAGGTGCTACAAATATTTCGGTATTCTGATTGATGAGAATCTATCCTTTAAATCTCATATTGATAAACTGGTTTCTAGACTAAAACTTAAATTGGGGTTCATTTTAGAAACAAAAAGTGTTTCTCACACCAAGTCAGAAGGTACCTGATTGTTTCAACTATTCTGCCCCTGATGGATTATGGAGATCTGCTATTTATGAACTCTTCAGCCCATGTTTTGAAAAAATTGGATGCTGTATATCATTGTGCCCTCCGTTTTATGACTGACTGTGGCTATTGAACACATCACTGCACTTTGTATGCTACAGCAAAATGTCCCTCTTTGACTGACCAAAGACTTTCTCACTTGTTGGTTTTTTATCTATAAATGCATCCATGGGCATCTTCCTACATATTTATGTTAACTTTTATCTAGAAATTTTAACCATTATAGTCTGCGCTCTCAGGACATCATTTTGTTGCAGGTCCCAAAGGTCAGAACTGAACTGGGTAAAAAGGCTTTTAAATATTTTGCCCCTGCCACTTGGAATATTCTGCAGAAGGATTTAAAATTATCATCTCTTGTCACGTTGGGACAATTTAAATCAATTCTAAAGGAACGGGAGCTCAGATCACTTGGCTCCTGTAACGGCTCTAATGTGTAATTATTGTGATTTCTCCTGGATATGTATTTTGTGTATTTGGTTTAGTATTTTGGATTTGTTGTATGTTTTATGCTGCTGTCTTGGCTCTCTTGGAAAAGAGGTTTTTAATCTCAAAGAGTTATTTTCCTGGTTAAATAAAGGATACATACATACATACATAGTTGTGGCCCACATATGAAAACATTTGGACACCCCTGCTGCTTTATGGACTTCAGAATAAAGTCTTGTTTAGTGTCAGGTAAATGTGTGAAGTATGCGTTCTGTCAAAACTTGAATATATATATATATTATATATTAGAAACAATGTGAGTCAGAGATGTTGTTTTCATAAAATGTGGAAAAACAGACATGGGTCCAGTCACTCTTGTAGCACTGTTTTACTGTGTTTTAAACAGACTTTTGTTTTGTTTCTTCTTTTTTATGATTAAAGTAGTTGTAGCATATGCCAGTTTGTAGAAGTCGAGTTCGCCGAGCATCTCTCTCGTTGCTGAGTTTCCTGCAGCGCCTCATAGCAGTGACAGTTTTAGATTCCTGTGGGGGAGCCATCTTGCTCAGCAACTCTGTTCCCTCTCAGCTTATCTCCCCAAACAAAGAAGTCTCTGTTGGTTCTAATCAGGAGGAGCTGCTTTAAATGGCTCCTCTGGAGTTTGTTCTCTGCAACTATTTTTTACATGTTGACATAACTGTTTTACTGACACTGACTCAAGTTTATTTAATAGAGTACTGCATGTTTAATTACTGTTTGTGCTTTAAAGTACAGCTACACTTGCAAAATGTTATTCGTTTTAAAGTTTGCTGTAATAAACTCAGAAACATGAGCTATTTCTTTTAACAGGGAGGTCAGTCTGAAGATGGTTTTGGAACGGCACCTCCGAGGTACATCCTTAGACTCCACATCGTTCTTGTTTATTTCTGTTCTTAATAATTTACAGAGTGTTTAAAGTACACGTTTTCCCATGTTTTACTACAGTTACGCTCAAGTGCAGGCTGAGGCCGAGGCGTTCACTGAAGAGGACCTGAGGCTGATCCAGGAGAGGGAATCAGCCATCAGGCAGCTGGAGGTATCAAGCACAATCAAATACAAGAGAACTCCTCAGTTCTGATGTCCACCGTAAAGTTACAACCATCTCACATGAACCAAATGTCTTTCTGCTTTCGGTTTAGTCTGATATCACGGACATTAATGACATCTTCAAGGACCTGGGCATGATGGTTCATGAGCAGGGGGACATGATAGGTGAGCTTCAGTCACATCTCACAAACCTTCTCTTCTTTCTTCATTGGTCTTCGACATCTTCAGTTCAAGCAGGTCTATAGGTCTGTTTCAATGTTGATGTGTCCATGCGTGCACATCTGCTCACACAGACTCATGTTCATGTTTGTGCTGATGTTCAATGTTTTATGTTATGAGTGCTTAGTGTATATTTAGTTGATGTTTTTCTTAGTTCATATCTTAGATGTTATTACTGTTTTTCTTATACATTTTATTGTCGGATGTAACTGGGACCCCGTGTACATAATTTCGCTCCACCACATGTACCACATGAGGTGTGAATGACAATAAAGAATCTCTGACTCTGACTCTGATAAACACAGACTGGGAAGAAAACTAGAGACTTTATGGGATGAAGATGTAAAAAAAATGAGTTAATCCAAAATGCTGCTGCCAGAGTCTTAACTGGAGTTAGTAGGAGAGATCATATATCTCCAGTTTTAGCTTCTCTCCATTGGCTCCCTGTCAATACTAAAAATAATAATAATACTTTATTTATAAAGCCCTTTAAAACAATCACAGCTGCCACAAAGTGCTGTACATATAAAATCAAGATCATTTAAACGCATAAAAAAGTCAGTCCAAGTCCAGAATTGAATTCAAAATTTTACTTCTAACCTACAAAGCCCTCAACAACCTAGCTCCTTCTTATATTACAAGTCTTATTGTTCCATATTTTCCCAACAGAGCACTTTGCTGTCAGACTGCAGGCTTACTCGTGGTTCCTAGAGTTTCCAAAAGCAGAATGGGAGGCAGATCTTTCAGTTATCAGGCTCCTCTCTTGTGGAACCAACTTCCAGTTTCTGTCTCTAAGGCTGACACATTGTCCAGTTTTAAGACTGGGATTAAGACTTCCTTTTAAAAAAATCCTATAGTTAGGGTTGACTTAGTCATAAGCTTAAACTACTGTAGGACAAATTGACTTCATTTCTTAAATGAATTGCTAAAACTGAATAGTTTTCATTTGGAATTATTTCTATCTTAACATGTGATTCTTGACCTGCCATTGTGTATCTGTTCCTACGAAACCCAGCCGGTTGAAGCAGATGCTTGTCCTGAGCCTGGTTCTGCTAAAAGTTTCTTCTTCATGAGGGAGTTTTTCCTTTCCACTGTCGCCTTCATGCTCGCTCAAGATGAGAGTTCTGTGATGGAGTTCAACTCAAAGCAGTCTGCTCCTCAGATAAACAATGTTGTAACAGTCTTTACATATACAAATGTTTCTGTTCAGTGCCCTGAAATGACTTCTTGTTGTGACTTGGCGCTATATAAATAAACTGAATGGAATTGAATTAAACTAAATACAGATTAGACTGATTTTAGTAACAATAATCAAAAATCTTACAACTTTTCTGTCAAAAGTTATTAGATATACATTTGTTATCATTTCCTAACGAACCAACCTGCACAAGAACGTTGTAAATGATGAGAAGTTTCATTTCAGTTTATTTATCTAGTGCTAATTCACGACAGACATTGTCTCAGTGTTGTTATTGTAAACACATCACAATCATAACCAGAATCAAGCCCAGTTACGGTCAAGTTATTTCCTGGTATAATGCAACACATCCAGTACTTCATGAAATACCAGTTGGTTAAAGTTCTCTATCTAAGGAAGCTGGCAGGCTGCGTCAGATCTTCGTTTTGTTTCAAGCCCCATCCTGAGCAGCAGAGAGGCGACAGTGGAAAGAAGCGACTCTCTTTGCACAGGAAGAAACTTCCAGCAGAAGCAGGAGGAGCAGCCGCTGCCTGCTGGGGTTAGAGAGGACAGGAAGGAGACGCAGACAACAGAAGGAATGATGTGATGTGTTTGATTTAAGGAACACTTGTATCGTAGCTGGTTTGTTTCTCAGCTTATCTAATCTGCAGCAGAGCAACGCTGCGCTGTCAGAAAACAGATAACAGAGTTATGTCTTTAGAACAACGCAGATTTCTTTTATTTATATTTAGCAGGTTTCTTAGAGGCTACATTCACCCACTGAGCTGCTCGATAGCTTCATTTTGGATTCTGCTCATATTGAGGATCCGTTCAGACCTCGGTGGTAATTTGTGCATTTGTTTTTTTTTTTGTGACCTGCAGACAGTATAGAAGCCAACGTGGAGAGTGCGGACGCCTGCGTTCAGAGTGCCTCACAGCAGCTAAACCAAGCTGCGAGCTACCAGGTGAAATACGACAGGACAGTAGTTTCATCATGACTGCTTCCCCTCTGCCTCGTGTAGCTGAGCCGTTAGAGCAGACGTGGGCAACGTAAGGTCCGAGGGCCAAAAGTGGCCCTTGGACAATCTCAATCAGGCCCCCAATATACTTAGTTAAAAAGAAAACACAAAATATAAAACGTATATAACATGTTAAGCTAACATGTATAACATTTTAAGCTAACATATATAACATGTTACGCTAACATGTATAACATGTTACGCTAACATGTATAACATGTTACGCTAACGTATATAACATGTTAAGCTAAAGTGTATAACATGCTAAGCTAATGTGTATAACATGCTAAGCTAACATGTATACCATGCTAAGCTAACATGTATAACATGCTAAGTTAACGTGTATAACATGCTAAGTTAACGTGTATAACACGCTAAGCTAACGTGTGCAATACAATGTCACAAGAGCCAGTTTACAGAACGTCTTATATTCCTGAAGGATTTTGGAAAGACGTGTTTTATAAAGCGTTCTAACTATGCTACAATAAGACAAAGGTCTTCTAGATCAGTGTTTTTCAAAGTGGGGGCCGCTAGGGGGGGCCCAGAAAGCTGGAGAGAAGACGATAAAAATGGCAAAAAAAAAAAAAAAATAATAATAATAATAAAATTGCATACTAGAGCAATCTGTATCTGTCATTTCCGGATAAATACGCTTGAGAGAGAGAGGTTTGATTTATTTTGTTTTGTTCTTCTGGTCAACAGTTTGTTGAAAAGTTGTTTTTGTAAATAACATTTTTATACTCGGCAGTATCTGTAATAATTAATTGAAAATAGTGAATAAATGTTAAAACATTCTAAAAGTTGATGTTTTTTACATGTTTTGAAGCATTGTTTGTGGGTTTGCGAGGGGGGCCTCAGCTGTTTGTGGGGTCATGGCATGGAAAATTTTGGGAACTCCTGTTCTAGATTATATGTCGTAAAGAAAATTTATTTTCCGATTTTCTATGCGGCCCTTTAGATTGCTTTAAATGTCTTGATGTGGCCCTTTGGAAACAAAAGTTGCCCACCTCTGTGAGTTCACAAGTAAGCATGAAAAAAAAAAGGCTGAGCTTTTTCACGCTCTGACTCAGAATTTGTTCAAAATGTCACCCATGTTAAGAAAAACAATCCATTTAAGCTTTCTTAATATCTGTTATTTGTGTGTTCCTGCTTTTAGAAGAGCTACAGGAAGAAGATCTGTGTTCTGGTGATTGTGTCGACCGTAGCTGTCGTTGTAATCGCACTTATCATTTGGGGTGTCACCAAACAGTGAGGACTTCCTGTTAGCCTCGGAGAAGCACAGAGTGTCATTCCTCTTCCCCTCCATCGTCACATTTACATCAAGTTTGTCTCCTTTCATGATTCAATTGTGTTTTTGAAGACTGTCTCGTCCTCGTTGACTTTACCACACACTCCTTTTTACTGTGAAGCAAAACCCACACTGGTAGCTCTCGTTGTACGTAGCTTTAACTGAACCGCTGGTCTGATCTGGGCGTGGATTACTTTAAGGCGAGCCATTTTGTTCATTTATCTTGTTAATTAAGGAGTGAGCTCAGGTGGAGTGTGTCTGAGGTCACTGGTGGGATTCATCGCCTGCTGCCTCCAGTAACTTCCAGTGTTTCTCTATTGAGTTAAACATTACGGACAAATGGTTTCAGGAACAATCGAGCAGCAAGCGTGCGGAGAAAGAAACGTGGATTCTTTTAGCTGCAGCTCCTTCCCCTTATGAATGAAGTTAGACATGAAACTCCAGCTGCTGCGTCGAGCGGAGCGTCTGAATTGATTTCATATAAATCCAGTTTCTCTCAGGCTCAAAGTACAATCAGCTGACCAAAGTCAAAGAGACACTTTTAATCATGTACTCGTTTTATTTGAAAGTAGTCATTTCTACCATGATTGATAAAAATCATATTTACATTCAGATTCATGTTTTATTTAAATACACTTCCATTACCACGAAGGCTTAGATTAGTACTTTAAGGGGTGGTTTTTTTTTACTTGTATGTTTTAAATGAATATACTGTACAACATGTAGAGTATTCAGCAGTAGTGTGGGGGGTTTCGGGGCTGTTTTTGTACCTTTATGCCAAACTTTTGAGCACATTTTTGTTGATTCAACGCCCTTACACTTGGACTTTTTAGCAAGGAAATGTCTAACTATAAATGAGATGTGTGCAGTTTGAGGAGATTTTTGTTACTATTATTTAATGACCCACCACTTATTACTAGATTTATCCTAAATCTGAACAAATTGAGCTTTAGACCAAAGCCCACCAATAAAAAAACTGTATTTTGCATTGTAGACAGACACTAATGCTGTTTCTGAGAGTCTTTGGTTCAATACTGTAACATGATGATGACCTCATGTAGGTTTTTATTAATATATAGTTTTAACTGCTGGAGAAATGACAGAACCTGGAGAGAGCTGCGTGCAAACCTCTGATTTATGCATCAAGTAACGAAATAAATACTGTAAATAAAAAGCTCATTAAAAAAATGAAAATGAATTAATCTCTGATTGGTGATTTATTTATTTATGTATTTATGCATCTTTATCCTGTTCTTTTTTTTTTTTTTTTTTCCCCAAATATACTAAAATAGAAAAAAGGAAAAATTCTGTGGAAAATGTCTTTAAAAGTTACTTTTTTTTTTTTTACATTTGGGAAAAAAAAAAGATTATCCTTCTTTTCCATGCAAAATGTTGAGTTTATTATTTTTATTTTTCAAGCACAGACCGTGTCCACTCAGACTTAGAGACAAAACGCTCCATAGGTGAATTCCTGTAATTAAACTTTAAAGTTATAAAGAATTTCAAAACGTGATCGACTCCCAGGTTGGATGTTTCAGGCCAATCAATTCTCGCTTGTTGGTTGAAATCCACACTCCAATTTTAATCCTTTTTGTTTCATAATTAGAACTTTTGTCAAAATCAGAAGAGTAAATAAAATAAAAAAAATAAAAAAAGTGTAATAAATGTTGGCGTTTTCTCTTTTTGTGCAGCTTTTATTTTCCTAATTTAAGTGCTTTAGAATAAGAAAATGGCTTCTTTTAAAAGAAATGATTGTAAAGCCAGGACATCAACAAGTACCTGGACGATGTTTGCAATATGACATAATTACCCTTTTATAACAACATGTTTCTTTGTCCAGGAAAAATTAGAACAACACAAAAAATTTGCATCAGGGAGGAGCAAATATAACAGAGACACCAACAGGAGATTTTTAAGGCTTAACTTGGGTCACAAGACTCTCATGTGCACTGTGGAAATCCTGCAGGGAGATTTAGGATGCCAGCAGCAACACTTCAGGTCAGATATCTGCTAAAAGACGAGCCCCCTGCTATGAACGGTTCATTTATATTTCTGATACTCCTATATCCACCCATAATACTGATCAGGCAACAAACATCAAAATCCTTGTGGCTCCTCGGACTGGTGAAGTCCTTTGGATGAAGGATGAAAAAGTTCAACAAAAAAAGAAACCGTCCAGAGGACCTGACTTAACTTTGTTGGACTTTCCAGAATGTTTCGAAACGTTTGAAAGGGTTTTTGCTTCGGAGGCGCAGGAACTCTGAAAACGTTCAGAAATGTGGCATGACGTGGAGTTTTTGAGGGCATCTGGATCCTGTCTCGAACCCCTCTCTGTTCAGTTTCCTTGAGTGAACGGAAGTGAGAGGAATGTAAAGCAATCTAGGAATGACTTTTGGCAACTTTTGGAACCAAACTGATGATTAGAGAGAAAAAAAGGGAATAAACTGGGATCAGACTGAGACAACTGAAGCAGCTTGTATACTATTCACAGGAATGTTGTGCATGAAAAAGGTGACAACAAATACAAGATAATGCACAGTAAATATTTACCAACAGTACCATATTTAAGATAAGTCAAAGTTTTAGACAGTTTTGCTTAGACTTAATGTCAGTTTTTTTTTTTTTTTTTTTTGGTTGAATAAACTGTTTTAATTTCAAAAGACAAGTTTGATATCTGCAGTTCTATTTCTCCTTACCGTGTCGAAACCTTTTTGCAGACACGAAGTAAACCTGAAAAAAAATTAGTTAGCAACCGAATCATCCATCCATCCATTATCTTTACCCGCTTCTTCCTTTTCAGGTTGTGGGGGGTTACTGGTGCCCATGTCCAGCCATCACGGTGTGGGAGGCGGGGACACCCTGGACACATAGAGACAAACGAGACAAACAACCATTCACTCTCATCACTCTCACCTGCAATTTAGAGTTACCAATCAGCCTAACATGCATGTTTTTGGAAAACCCGCGCATGCACGGAGAGAACATGCAAACTCCACCCAGAGAGGCCCCCAGCCGTGATTTAAACTGGGGCGACCTGCTCGCTGAGAGGTGGCAGCTCTACCAACTGTGCCACCGTGCTGCCTGCAACAGGAACAGTGTTATTTCATTTTTGTTGGTTGTAAAACTCGAATCGAGGAACCTTCGAGTGACTTTGGTGGAGTGTAAACTGAAAACACGACGGCTTATACATAAATAAGAACCTAGTTTTAGTGACTTGATCCAAATGGTAAATGGACTGTACTTATATAGCATCTTTCTATCTTATCGAGATACTCAAAGCTCTTTACTACACAATCTGTGTCCTCATTTACCAATTCATACAGCACTCTACTAGATCTCTACAAAGAATAATCAGAGCTTTATCGCATTCATACACTGATGGGACACACATCAGAGGCAATGAGGGGTTCAGTGTCTTGCTCAGGGACACTTCAACATGTGACTGCTGGTGGAATCAAACCCCCAACTCTCCCTTTGGAGAACTCCGCCACAGCCGCCCAAGTGAGAAAAGTAAATGTTATAGAGGACTCTGGTTCAACCCTTCAACCGTGCATTAAATTTAAAATGAAGAATCAACACATCTGCATGTGTAGCAAGAGCAACTTCCTGTTTTCAGCAGAAGTAACTGCACATTTCCCATTAATCAGGAGAAACGACTGATCGTGGAGGCCGAGCTGCGCACAAGCTTGTTGTTTAAATGATTTAGAGATCTGACCTGCACAAAGTTTCAAAGCTCACATTGTACAGTCTGTCCTCTCCTTGTTTATTGTACGAGCTGAAGGAATGCACGGGAGGGAACACTGAGGGAGTTAGCTCCTATATGTCAGGACAGACGGTGCTGGAGTTGGGCCTAAAGGAGGACGAAACAAGCTGCTGTGAAGCAGAAATTTCCTCTGACAGGAGAGATGAGGATGACTCGGGTCCAGCGTCGTACAGTAAATACATCACCCTGGCATGAAATGGGTCCAAATGGGCATCAGTGAGACAGGAGATATTTGGGAGGCTGGTTAAACGCTCAGATTTTTACAGGTTGTTGCGAAAAAAACAAGGATTTTCCCTTTTTGGACCAAAATCTCACCAAACAGCTTTCATGCAAGAGCTGAAGATCTAACCGTTTAAAGGAAACTGGAAGTATCTCCCATGTGCTGTATGTTTGGCAACCCCTTTTAAAGGATAATAAATAGTCATAAAGTGGTATAATTTGAGAAAATTATAAGTTGACCGTTTGAAAGACTTAACAAAAGCTGAAGAAGAACTCGTCTGAACAAACTGACGTCAGCTTTGCAGTCCCTGTAAAATAAATGACAAGTTCCTATTAGTTTTCCTTTCCTCAGTGGATTGACAGAGGTTTTCCATTAACACGGTTTTATTAGAAATCCACCATTTTGAATATTTACTCCTCCACTCATAAAGCAGAGACTTTAATATTTGAGGATGAGGCTCTGTAACAATTTAATGTTTGTGCTGATAGTTTACAACTTTCCATTCAAAACTTTATTATGAATAAAGATTCAGGTCTTTGTTAGCAGTTCAAATGGTTTTCCTGTGGGCCTGCTGCTGTTTAAAGCAACAAAATGTTGATTTTTATCACGTTTCACAAACCAGGATGTTCAGATTGTTAGCCCTGAAACCTACAAAACATGATCTGTTATCAGTCTAGTTTTCATTCTGATAGCTTGTTGAGTTAATCAAAATCTGTCATAGAATTAAAACAGACTTGGGGATTTTTTTTTTAATTTAAGATGAAGTTTTGTGAAATAACATATTGTTACCACTAGAGGACACTGTTGTGCCACTTCCAGGACCACCAGCATCATAACATCCCACTAAAACTATTTTTTCTGAATGTTTTTCTGCTAAAATACCATGATTGTATTAATGCAAAAATATCACCTAACTGAAAGTGTTTGTTTTTGGGCAGTCTCCTGCAGTGCAGACACGTTTCACACATGTTTTCATATTAAACCACTTCTATTACTGTAAGTAGAAGCTGAATAAAACTAGCTCCACCAAACTGCATCAGACCTTTAACTCAGCTGTTTCCTTTCACAAGTTTTTTTTCTTTCCAGCTCTGATTCTTTGCTTTGATTAAAATCAAAAGTTGACCCCCTCCATTAGATCAGCATGATGTGCCCCTCACTGAAACAGAGAACCCCTTTCTGCTCTGAAGTGCAGATCAGCTAATTCTTATGCCAGCAGTAACGGCTGTCCTCTCCTCTCAAAATGTCCCACGTTCTCTCCCTCTTACCTGTCTTCCACCTCTACTTTTTATCTGCAGTGCTGCGTCGGCGCTGCAGAAGCTATTTAAAGGGTTATTTCAGAGGTTTAGAAATGGGGTTCTGTCACAACAAATATCTTTGCTTTTGCAGACT